AAAAGAAATTTGCGATCTCCCTCGCGCCTCTTTGTTCTCTTGCGTTTCTTTCCACCGCCCCCTGCCCTACCTCTGGTAGGCTCAAGCGACGGCAAGGGGGATTGTCTTGAATTCAAAAATATATTGCGAAATTGACGATTTGCTGTACTTCGAGGCAGTTTCATTTCGGCGATGGCCGCTAATCCACTATTAATGTAGGTCCTAGCCGTCTTGACGGCTTGCCAACGCCCATAGATCATGAGGCGATCCAGGTTGCCCCACTTTTGGAAAAGATGAGTCGCCCCCCCCGCCTAAGGGAGTAAGGTCTAAAACCAAGTTCTGCATAGCCTAAAGCTTCTACTGTGGCATTAAACAGTTGTCTCCACTTAGCAGGAGATGGGCAAAGTTGCTCACGAGGTTTGCTGTTTGACACCCAAGCATAGAGCCAGCGCAGAGGCTCTTCTGCAGTCATTGCGACGCTTTCCATAGCGCCTTGTCTTTTGCCCCCTTTTGTCAATCCCAGGGATATCCTCCCGGGCCATGGACGGTATGTATGCTAACATCAGAAGAACGGAAGTTCAAAAGCTCTCCCGTGCGCAAGGTGCCATAAAACCCTACGAGGAGGGACAGCGCGAAGAAATACTGCTCTTTGAAAATGGCATACCCGACCATGGTCTGTAGGGCTTCTTCCGGAAGGGGTGCCCTGTTTGGCACCTCATTCATGGACCAGGCCTTGAGGAGCCTCCAGGTTCCCCGAAGAGCTCCCGTGACCTGTGGTTGTGCGTCCTGCAAGGCAGCAACTGTGTCACTTGCTTGCACGTCCATAGCCCTCGCTCCACAAATGTTCTATGTAGACTTGGAGTAGAGCATCAATACCAGCATGTGTGTTTGGGATGACTCTGTTTTCAGCTCGCAGGAACGCCCAGAAACCTTCTAGCGCCTTGTTGTAGCGCTCTCGCGTCCGCGGTTGGACTGTTAACGACTGCAGGGTTGTGCAGATCTGTGGCCCAGTCTTGACGGGTTTGTTCATCACATTGCTGCAGTCCCGCGGGCTTGCGCCCCGGCGTCCAACGTGGCCGTGACGTCGTGAAGGTGGGGAAAGGCTCCTCTGAACACTTCCGCCATCCTGGTTCTAGGAACTGATTGACATCAAGCGGACAGGTCAGTTCTATTTGGCCCATGGCGGCCATCCCTTGTCTCGGGCCGAGGAGATGCGGACCCCGTCGCCTTCAAGCACCTCCCACGACGGCCAAAATAATTAGTCGCGGTCGTCGAGCTCCACAAATATGCACGGGGTCAATCAGCCAGGGAAGGTCCCCAACCGATTCGCTCATTATACTCCGGTCTGCTTCATCCATGGAAGCCACGGATTCCATGAGTCTGTGTACTTGCGCCCAAGGGAATGCCATACGAAGTAGGTCGTGAACCCGGTCGACGTGCGAAAATAAGCAGCTTCTTTCATCTCGGAGTGCTCCACGCCGATCTGCATTAAGCCCAGAGACCCCCTGGCAGGGTGGCCCCGCTCCCAGGATGACGACTGCTACCTGAGAGAAACGACAAGCACATTCGTGCACCATTGCTGCGTCAACCAGCTCCACATCCTCCACGTTAGGAAAGCGGCTTTCCACAACTCTTCGGGCTGGTTGATGCCTTTCCACGCTGATATGCCCCACCGCAGGCAAACCTATGGCATCGGCAGCTACCCTCAGGGCGCCCAAACCATCGAACAGCCCCACTGTAAGGGCGCAGGGGAGGTCATAGGACTCAACGATGTCGTCCCTGACTTGGCAGTTGGCTGCCATGCACCCGACGGGGGTTAAGCCCGAGGAGGCCGTCACTCCGCCTCCCGTTGAAGATGCATCACTGGCCGTGACCGTCCCTGAGAAAGGAGTTCTAAAGTCCATTCGCGCCAGTGGGGTCAGGAGACAAAAGCATGCTATCTCCCCTTTGACCTGGCTCGGAATGGCCTGTCGGTATTTTTGGTGATCTTCGAAACTTTGGATGAACTCCCAAATCCCATTTAAGGTCGCTAGCAGGGGTCTACGAAACATGGCCATGTAAACCAAACCTCCAGCCACGACTTGCATCTGCCGCTTGGCGCTAGCTCCCTCCTTCAGCATCAACAAACTGAGCTGTATATATCGCATGATCTTTTCAGGCCTGGGAATGGCCGTCCCTGCCACCCCGTCGACAAGAGCGCCTTGGACATCAGCCCTGACCTGCCGTTCTACGGCCTTTTTGGGGTGACGAGGAATCTCCATTCCCTGGTAGGTGTTGCGCAAGCTGTCAACAAGGGGTGTAGTGGATCCCTTCATCCGTGCCGCCAGGTCCGTCTCCACACGCTCAAGCTGGTCAAAATTGTCCAAGTAAACACGGTACAAAGGGTTTGAAACGGTCAACGCCCTATCCTTTCGAAGTTCGGCCTCCCACCCACCGGGAAACCCAAGCTGACCGGCCTCACGAAGAGCCCTTCCTACGACAACCCGGTGTATGTGTTGCGCCAAAGCCACACTATTGCTGAATCCCATCGGCAGGACCAGCGAGGTGAGGTAGTAGGGCTCGGCCTCATCCGGACAAAGTCTGGCTGGAACCCGCTTTGCAAAACCAAGGAAAGGTCGCCACTCTTGCGGTACTTTGAACAGGTAAAAGAAACACCGCACATCTTCACTGCTTATGAGCAGTGTTTCACCTGGCTGGATATAGAACCCGTTCATATTGGGCCAGGCAGGAAGGGTCGACACGTCCCCTGTAATGCTCTTGCAAGGGCGGTTGAGTGGCACCAGGTTCATGATTAATCTGTGAACTGGCTGTCCTTTGTGGGTCTCCTCCTTCAAAACTCCAAAAAGCCCATTCAGGAGGGGACGACCCTGCATGTGGTGCAGCTGGCTTTCCGCCATCAGTCCACAGATCCCCTTCGCAAGGAGACCTTCGCATGGCCTCTCATTC